GCCAAAAAGTTGAAGGAGTGCGAAAATGGGTCGACATTTGAATCGCTGCCAAATTCAATATCGTTTCAGAAAGATGGAAAAAAGTTATAGAAAATGGTGGAAAATATTTCGATTAATATACATTGTACCAATTTTTCTCAATAAATGCCTTTTTCGAGTGAAAAACAATCAAAATTAACGAAACCACCTAATATTATTATATATACATATTGCAATACATATATTTTTTCCTTCCGCATTCCTTTAACTTAACTTACTTATGCATTTATATATGCAGCATTGGTAATATGCAGCAATGGTTTTTATTTCCTTTTAATTCTTGTTTTTTCGCCTTTAAGAACATATGTAAACTTTCATTTTAATAAAGAAATTAAGCAACGTTATTGCCGCAAGCTACTTTCTCATATTGTTTCAATCAAAAACTTGCTAGGACATGGGCAGTTGAGTTTGCAGCTTCTAGGATCTGCCCTTTACTAAGCGCGAGAAGCAATTTTTTCGGTTCATTTTCCGCTTGAACTCTGCATACATTCTCAATCATCATCAGAATCTAATTTCGTTTACACAAATTTTGCATAAAAATTTAAACTGGACTTGATGACACAAACAACAGACGTATAAATACACAAACATGTCAGAGTGAACCACCGAATCTTTCAGCTTAAACGGTTTTAATCCATCGATCGATCAGTCGCAATTATTAAAAAGGTTTGATGATCGTATTGCATTTGTATTAGAGATTAGTTGTTTTAAATTCTAAATCGATTCAAGCATATCCGGGTCGCGGTCGCCAATATTAACATATGATCTTCAAAGTTGACAAAAGTTTCAGAAGCATATATATACGTAGGTTGATAATAAAAATGAGCGAAATCGATTAAAACGGCACGCCCCTATCAGCGCACCGTATACTGAAAACTTTTCTGCTTTCGAAAGCGAAGGAAGGTTTTTACTCATTAGGTGTATACTACAGCAAATACATGTCCTGTGAATGATCCGGGCTACTTCTGCACAAACATCGCAATCTCATTTTTTTCACTTGTGCTGGACATTTTTTTCGCCAATAGTCGAATACAATTTTTTCAACTGTAAGCCATCATGACACTTCATTTGCGAAATCGCCTTTCAAAACTTTAACGTCAAACTAGTGCGCTAACTGAATTGGCTATGCAGGCACTCATGCGTAACTCCATATGATCGACTTTTAGTGCATAGTGGGCGTGCAATGTTTGTCAAAAGTGTGCAATACTTATAAATAAGCTACGAAGAAACTGCAACCTCGGTCGGTCTGACGCAATTATGTGTGCCTCTCGTATTCCTGAAAGCTTATGTGCATGTTTTTTCACGTTTTGCCTTTTGTATAGTATGTAAGGAAGCCCTCTACGAAAGCAAAAGGAATGGTTGACCAAATTTAAATATAAAATCGTCTTGTTATCTTCACTCGAAATTGTAATGCAACGCTGCATGATCTCGTTTTGCAGCTTTAACTCATCAGTATTAATATAGCTTTACATAAGTTACTCTTTTAAATAAGCATTAGCATGTAAATGGTAGAGTAAGTAAATACATCTCGTGGTGTAAACGGTACGTATCAACATGTTGGTGTGGCAGCCAACAGCTATAAGAGCAGCGCGCAAACAATGATCATTTTTATCAGATGTTCAGCAGCAGCCAAGCTAACAGGTAAATCACGAACTCTCCAAGCGGTCTTACTTTATCGTCCCGTCCGTTCGGAACGAGATCCATAAGATAACAGTGTGTTCTTGCATCATTATCTTATAGATTCTCGGCCCGAAAGGAGATCCTATGCCTACCGCCAGCTAGTGGCTAGGGGTTCGATATTGTCCGACCAGAACGGGGTCCATAGGCTAACAATGCGTTTCACACCATTACCCTATAAGCTCTTGGTCGGGAAGGATACCCTAGGTCTGTAGTTAACCGGTGATTAGCAGTTAGGCATTTTCCGTCCCGCACTGGATCCTTCAAATAACAACGTGACCTTGCATCATTGTTTTATAGACTCTTGATCCGAAAGGATACCCCAGCCTTATAGAGCCTAGTATTCCGTTACTTTATCTATCCGGAACGGGCTTCGTAAGGAACCAGGCATGCTCTTGCATTCCGGCCCGAAAGCACACCATAGAAACCTCACACCTATAGGGACCTGATAGACTGCCTGCTGAATTGCTAAAATAATAATTTACGGATCATACGTAACGAATTTCATTTTCGTAATGCGGTTACGGGCAGGCCATATTTTTACGGTTAAAAACGAGGCTTCCCGGTAAATACGTATTCGTTTTTCTTTCACTACGAAGTGATATCGCAAATGACGCCATTCTGTATTCTTCTCAAATTCCGCCAATATATATTTAATTTTGCACAAAAACACGAAGGTTCCTTTAATTTGTTGAATAAATTTCTTGGAACGAACCCCTGGACAGCCCTGAGGGAAACCCCAGCTGTAGATCCCAATCAAAAAAGCATCACATAGCGTATTACTTCAGCGTATCATTTCACCCATTTTCAAATCAGTACAACTTTTTACACGAACAAAAAATATGGAAAGTACGTTCACAATAAATGTAAGGTAAAATGTCACCTTTTAAGGGCATGTTCGTTTAAGACAATTAAATGGGTGTTGCCCGATATATGGACATTAAAACCCTCCCGCGGAAACAAGTGCAAAGACTTTTTATATGACCTAATATATAAAAAAAATGTCGGAAAGAAAAGTTAAAATGAAAAACAACTTTTCAAAAGAAATTTATAGAATTTCTCGCGTCAGTTTTTTGTCGATCAACGGTCATAAAGCGTCACTTAACAATGAAAAAAACGTACTGCACATGATGCAGTAAAAAGCAGAAAAGCCTACTGCAAAGGTCTTCCAATATGGAGAAAACAATAGTTGGCACGGTGATGGCGGTAGAGAAGTGAGGAAAGAGAAGGAGACATGAAGATGTTGGCAAAATTGTAAATGCTATGCCTTTACGGACTGAACATTCACTATAGCTACGACCAAAGGAAAATCCCTGAGAAAAGTACTCAGATTTGTTCTTGATAGTCGCAATCGTTCCCTACACGGCTACTCATGTAGTATGTGAAAAGATTTTTACATTAAAAAAAACAATGTATTTTACATAGATTTTCGCTGGAAAGGAAAACAAAGAGATTCGAGAATGAGCTCCAGAATTCTTTCAATCAAACTTTCATTCGTCAATTGCTTACGTTAAATAAAATTAAATATTTATTACATATAAATCTGCTTAACGGGCGTTTACATACTTTTATTAAATACTATAACCAAGTGGTCACTACTAAGAAATGGAAATATAATAGATTTGTCCATCTAATTGTAGCACTCATAAGCACACTGCACAGCTATTGGTTTACAGTTATTACACAGTTTTCTCTACTCAGTACTTACGACCGTTTGTGTTCCAACAATATACTAGTGGCAAAAGGATGAACGGTCAGAGAAGCAGAACTTAATCGACTTGCAATTTTAACTACTAAACATTTTAGATATAAGTATCTATGTCGTCATATCGCTCGCATTAACAATCTTTTCATTACATTATATTTAGTTATCCCTTCGTTCATTGCGTACCGCTCAGTATAAGTGTGTGCTCGTTATTTAGCAATTTATATATTATATAATAACATGATGCATACGGAAGTATGTTTAGGTTGCCATTAAATAAAAAGAACGCCTAAGTCTTACATAGCACGTTACGTTTATGTTTTCTTTCACTTATTACAAGATACGTTTCATCGCTTTGAAGTGTTTTGATACAGAAAAAAAAAAAACAAAAAGAAAAAAAAAAAGAAAAGAAAAGGAAAGGAAAGTAGAAACAAGTTAATAGTTAATAGAAGTTTCGCTTCCTAAATTATCATCTTCTATCACTTTTTCGTGATTTGCTGGAATCTCTTCATCGAATTTCAAATATTGCTGTTTTAATGAATTTTTATATAAAAACCATAAAATTTAATGAAACTCACGTAATGTGATTTTGGAGAACCGCATAATAGAATATTCTTGCACTAAATACTTAAGCATATATGTGTGTTAGTTTTCTTGAAAATAGTAGTAGTAGTAGTAGTAGTGGTAGTAGTAGTAGTACTAGAAAAGCACAAGACAATAAAAGGTATCGCATCTGTGACAACTATCCAAAGCTTCTCGGTAAAATAGAAAAATCGGATCCATGTGTACATACGTGAAAAGATTTATGCTTCGTCTGCATTATATGCGTATGTGTGCAAGTAAGTACTTTTGAGTGAAAGGATAACACAAATATACTACAATGCTGTTTAATAAACAAACAGTAAATATAAACGGGTAGTAAAAGGAAAATAGAAAAAAAGACAGCCGAACGTACTCTATAGAAGCAAACAGCAAATATAACAGTCCAAATACGTACATGCACATGCATATATACACACACGCATATATCACATAAACTGAAAGCAAATGTGATATATGAAGAAAAAAAGAAAAAAAAGAAAAAAAAAAAAACATGAGAGAAAAGAAAAAACTAAATACAGAACAACAAACTTACTTTTGAAAATGAAAAAGGATTTCATTGACTCAAAGCAAATGCATGCACAACTACAAAGCGGTTGCCATGCCAAGCGGTCTACATATGAGTGTGTGTGTGTGTGTGTGTGTGTGTGTGTGTGTGTGTAACCCGAATAAACAAACTAATAAAACCTGATGAAAATTTGTTTAAAAAAAAAAAAAAAAACTAGAAATAATAATAATAAGTATACGTAAATGGAAAACATTTTAACAAACACACTCCTACGCTGCATAAGTTAGATATCCGAAATGGTAGTTTTTCAACTGAAGGTATTGTTGTCAGGTGAAGACTTAAGTAAAAAGTGTTCTGGATTTTATTTTAGTGTTCCTAAAAGCTGATTACAGCAAAGCAAATTATACATATATTTATATGGACGAACAGTTCATTCATTTTTCCTATCTTCGTTTTTTTTTTTTTTTTTTTTTTTTTTTTTAATAAACTCACAATGAAAGTAATGAACAATTGAATGAATTTTGGAGATTAATAAACCAATAATGAACTTATGACTGACAGCGGTAATAATAACGTTCTTATAGGAAATGGGAAAAGAGACTTGTTAGCACCATGTCGATAACAAAGTTAAGAGTGAAGTCTGCCATTAGGCATAATGACAAGGGATCTTCCCGTAATTCTCCAATGTGCACTGTAGACAAAAATAAACCAAGAAACCGTTCAGCAGAATCTACAAAAAAACAGATCAATTTGCAATCAACCGGTGTCACAGCCGTTGCCGCGTCATCTAATGGCACACATATAGACTCACGAATGTTACATACTAATATGCCTCAAACAACGCTGTTGAAAATTGAACAGTTTGTTCCTAGCCGTTCACGAAAGCCGTTGGCCCGTTCTTACAGCACTCTTAGTTCAAGTTCCTACATGAAACGCCAAAACGTAGTCAGAAACGTGGGAAAACACGCTAAAAAGGATACTGCTTTAGAATGCGGTGGCTCCGCTTTGCCCAATGTAATAAAGGGACCTCTTTTAGCAGCCGGAACTTTACATCGCCGTCCCACTTTACGCGCAGTGACGCGTCAACGTTCGAAATCCACATCCTCATCAAACTCAGCCTCCAATCGTCCTAGCATAGCAGCTAATCTCAAGCGTCCTTACGATTCACCGCAACGGAACTCGGTGAATGGTGCAACGGTGACGCAACAACCCAATGGCATTTGTCGTATCGCACGTCATTCGAGGGAAATAGAGAAATTACCTGACCGTATAAACTATGATAAACGTGGTCTAACCACCATACCCATATTCGAGAATGAACCAAACTTACGCCTCTTATCGTTGCAGCACAATCTGATTAGTACATTTCACATACCAAAAGAGGAAAATGTTCCCGGCAAGAATGATGCTTCAAGCGAACTATCTGTAGGTCAAAGTAGTATCAGCATCAATAACTATACACTTAGAACAGATACAAACCCCCAACGCCTGCCAAATAATAGACAAGAAATGTTTTTGCCTTTAGGAAATGCACAGAATGCACAGGAAAAATCTCCTTCTTCGCCATCTCCGCTTAATATGTTAACTGCACAAACGTTAAAAAGTGGTTGCACGAATCATACGTCACAGCCGCAGCAACAGCAGCAGCAACAACAACAACAGCAACAACAACAACGTCACAAATTATTACAGAGAAATCTGCATTTTCATCCAGATAAAGATAGCCGGCATGTGTTGCCTTCATCCTCGCAGATGCGTTTTGGTTTACGAAAATCCAAAAGTTTTGCAAACAACTTTGCCGGTCAATTGAGTACCAACAGTAATTGCAATAAAAATGTTAAACGCGGAGTTGTTCCCCAGCCACGTCAAAGGCCATACCTTATAAGGACAGGGACAAGCACCACGCATCTAAAGAGTTTTGATTTCACCACCAATTGCAGCATTGTAACCGCTACATCGGATGCCGTCTCCTCGCCGGTTTCGATTAACACAGAAAATGAAGAAAATGAATTTTCCACTTCTCACTCACTCGACTTACACATCAAAAACAAACAACTACAGTATACTTATGGCGCGATTTTCCGTCAGTTGGTCTTCCTCGATTTGTATGACAATCAAATCGAACGCATTAACAATTTGGATGGGCTGCCGTCTTTATCAGTGCTATTGTTGGGTAAAAATCGCATCACAGACATCAGTGGTTTGGCTTCGCTGAAAACCACGTTGCATGTCCTGGATTTGCATGGCAATAAAATCACTAGCGTAAGCAGCAATAGAATCAACTGCCTGCATGAATTGAGATCTTTGAACTTGGCTGGCAATCAAATAAGACAAATCAATCAGAACGACTTCAATGGATTGCAACAACTTAAAGAGCTGAACTTGAAACGTAACAAACTGAAACGTATCAACGGATTTCAACATCTCGTTGCATTGGAACGGCTGTGGCTGTGTCATAACGACTTACACAAAGTCGAAGATATGGCATCGATTGCAAAGGCTGTGAGTCTAGTAGAAGTGACTATAGAAAATAACCCCGTTTCCTTAGCCGGCGATTGCGTTTCATTTCTAGTCAGTTATTTGCCGAAATTACAGAGTCTCAGCCAAATGCCCATAACTGAGCAAGTACGCAAAGCAGCCATGGCTTGGCGTAACAACAAAGAACTAGCCGCAAACAAACATCAACATTTCACTACAGAAATTTTCAATTCTATAAGACGCGAGGAGATTATATCAAATGCTCGTACCAATTGGGAACTCCTGAGGTCACAACAATTATCACAATCCGGTTATGCAACTAAGCAGCGCACACTAAAATATCCCAATGATTTAGATAAAATACAAGAAGATACCAACGAGAATGTCTATGAAGAATTCATCAGGCTGCCACCTATAGGCCAGGTCGTCAAGGATGTCGAAAAATCCAAAGACACGGAAGATGCGACTGAAATACGTCACTCACAATCTTCGTCATCTAGTTTAGGGCCAAATGTGAACTCTTCGTCCAGTTGCTACAGTTCAGAAGGTGAAACGGATGACGTACCTCCGAAAATTGCAACAGTCAACCAACCATCAAATCAGCCAACCAGTGACTTTGATGAAACCTCTGCAACATCATCAGTTGGTAAAGAGTTTTCCATGAAAACCACAGAAAGCGTAGATATCGTACAAATAAAGAATGACCAAAACAACACAAGTCGCACTAAAAGCGTAAAGAATGACAAATGCATCATGTCTCCAAGAGGACAAGTCAATCAAACCAGCAATATAAGCAAATGTAATAACGCAGTCGTTCTTGCTACTACAAGTATAGAATTCAACGCAAATACTAACAATGCAACAACACTTGCAACGACGAACCAGTTATCTAACCAGACAACATCAACAACAGTAACATTATCAACGACGACGACATCTGTACTGACATCGTCAACGTTAAGCAAACGTTACATGACGAGCAGCTTAATGAGATCTCAGACTGCTTTAGGCAATAGCAGTCCAGGTGTTATAGCAACAATAAACGGAAATGCTAGCAAACTGCAGACCGCAATAAATAACACACGTTATCAAAGTAAGCCGCACCATAATTTGACCGCACAAACATCTGCAAACGCTAACCAAAGCAACAATGAATGTATCAGTCACAGCAGCGCTACCAGCATCAGTTATTCGGCCAACAATACTGTAATAACCTGTATGGCCGGTGGGTATACAACAATCGTCAATGCCAGCAAGTCGTCCGTATCCACTTGCCACAACCAACTATTGACTGTCTCAACCACCATCGCCACTACCCCTACTCCAATCATCACAAATACTGCCGCGACTAGTATCAAACTAACACCGAACGAAAGAGAGCGGGAACAGGGCGGCGACTATTTGATCGAGATTTGCGGTCGTTATTTGAACGTTTATGGTCACGGTGCTTTGCGTTTCATCGACAAACAATGGAATCCTGTAAAAGCGAACGACGTTCATACGCTCAATTTTAGCTACATCAACTTTAATAGCATCAGCACACTTCTAACTCGCATCAAAGTGCGTTTCCCTCATGCGGAAAATTTCGTTTTTCGCGAAACAAACATTGCGTATCTGGGCCAGTTAAATGCATTGGCGGAATTACAAGGCATTTCCTCGCTGTTTATCGATCCAGAGGGCAATAGTATTACAACAAAGGATTTGTGGCGTCAATATGCCATTTATCGTCTCTCCCACTGGGGCCTGAAATTGTTAAATGCACGTGAGGTAACAGCGGAAGAAGTGGACGAAGCCAATAGCATTTATGCCGGCCTCTCTGAATTAATATTGTGGTCAATGCCGGATGCTATGCTGCAGCCATTGCTCGCACGCTTACGTTTAGAAGAATCTTGCACGGCTAGCAAAATGTCCCCGAAACAATGGCTTTTAAAGCCAGACAATCAATCGCTGAGATTGGTGGTGGGCAAGGAGGCGCTGCAATGGAAGAAAGCTAACAGCAACAATCAGGAAAATCATAATCTGCGTACGCCACAACAGGTGCGTCTATTGCAATTACAATATGCATATGATGGTAATGCGGTGCCCATCAGTAACTCAATTGCTTCATCAACGGCAACCGTAACAACAACAGCAACAACAATAACAACAACAAATTTAACATTCTCCACAACATTATCAAGTTCTTCATCTATAGTCCCAGCCACAACAATAACAACAACAGCAATAACACCAATGACAACCACTTCCCTTAGTATACGCGAACGCGGTAAAATTCATATTACACTAATGATGGAAAATACATGTAATGCGGTTGAGAAATTGCATAAATTAGAAACGTTATGGCCTAGTATGCTTCTGGAAATCGTACGCAACACATTGATCGACTATTCACAACTGGATGTGTATGTACGTAACCTAATGACCGAACTAATGAAGTGAAATTTAACTTTAGCTACGCCGCCTCCACACTTCTCGATAGCCTATACATACATAATGAATGCCCACAAATACGTGGACAAACGCATATGTGTGTAGTGCACCGACGTTAGTTTTGATGTCTTCAAATAGGTCGCAGCTGCTTTTGAAGAGAAAGAGAAACACTTCCAAAAATTTATATTTTAAAGTTGATTAATGTAACGCACATGTACGCACATACATTAACAGGTGTCCTTCGTTTAACGCGACACTTGCAAAGCCCGGTTTCGATATAATACGATTTCAAAAAATCGAATCGTTGCACTTCTTTTCAATTGATTTCTCATTTTATGGTTTATAAGTGAAATTTGAACCGACATTGAGAACATAAGCAAATAACTAAATTAATTTAATGAACATTAAAGTTTAATTAATTTTTTCATCTAATTTAAAAGACTTGAAACGAAATTTAAGAAAATTTAAAAATTTTACAATTTAAGATTTGAATTCAATACAACGCGATACGCATTTTTTTGATTTATTTGATTCGTTTTATAGCTAAACTTAAATTATGTTATTCTATATGGCATTTTAGTTTTTAGAAGAAAAAGAAAAAAAAAAATTTCGTATAAAACGATTACGATACAGTACGGTACGCCTTCAGCGAGGAACGCCTGTATGTGTTTCATATGTGTGCAAACACACAAGCAATAAATGACCAAATAATTAGTATATATATTTAGCACAATTTTATATATAGCCTACATACATAGAATACACTTACAAGCATATACAGTAAATGTATTCAATTAATAAAAGGTATTAAAAACCAAAAGCTAATTAGATATTTTGAATATGTTCCTTGTGACGTAACGAACGTAAAGACATAGTATATAGGTTGAAATTACAGATCTCTAAATATTTAAAGTTTAAAGTAAATCATTTTTAAATATCTGAAATTGTTAGCAAAGGCCTGCACCTGTACCTGTAGAACAAATTAACAGAATAACTCTCCATTTAAACTCCTGCTAATCTCCATATTTTTCGATTTTTCCTTCTTTTTTTTTTACACCCTACTCCATTTGTGCTACGGGGTATATTAAGTTAGAGCGGACGTATGCAACATCTAGAACGACTTAAGAAAGACCTACATTTTATTATACCGATTGATTCCGAATCATTTTCGTAACCGATCTAAGGTTGCCGATCCATCTATCCGTCTGATGTCTGCCCATGTATTCTTGTGTTCAACCGACAGGCGGCAAATTGCGATTAATTTTAACTAACGTGCTTTCACCCAAGGACGAACGCTATTGAAAATGATTTGGATCGGTCCACGTTTCCGACCAGTTCATATATAACGCCCTATTCTAAAAAGTCCTTACATGAAAAAAATGGAAATTTTTAAAATTTCTTAGCATAAGTGGCTAAGTAGTAGCATTTTGGCATTCTAAATCGGTATAAAAACTTTGGACCGGCGGGAGAAATTTTTTGAATACCTTCTCATATAACTATTTCTACAGAAACTGAAAATTTATATGGTAAAAATTTCAAATTTTCAATATTTTATGATGAAAATTTGCGCATGCCAGCAAGTTGATACAGGAATCTACCTTCCTGAATTTGGACCACGTGGGTTTATTTGTTGGATACCGCCGCATATAAGATCGCAATTTTTGAAATATTTTAATGAAATTTATTACAAAAACGAATACTATTGAATACGGTTTGGATCGACCCACTTTGTCGACTTTGTAGAACGTGAAAATCCAAGTTTTAATATGTGGTGAGGAAAATTAACCCATAACAGTAATTTCATATGAAAATGAATTCTACAAGATTTGTACTATCTACGCGTATTTTTGGATCCTGCCCTATGTAAGGATTAAACTTGTGCTACATTATGCTGCTTTTTGGACTCGCTTCCCCATAAATACGCACATGAAAAATATCCATTTATATAAAAACATATATATATATATATATATATATATATATAACTTTTGTGTTCTATAATAAATATAAGAGTTGTGCTAGAGAATGTGATGTAGGATATTTAATGGTCGGTCTTATCTGACTATAATATTCTTAATTGTTTTTACTTTGTGGTTTTTTTTTTAGGAAATATGAATTAAACCTGTTGACGATAAGATTAATATATTCATTGTTCGCGATTGATCAATCTTGGATTAGTGACGATGTGTGACAGGATCGATAACAAAGGTCTCCTTTTATTAGGAAGTACAGTAATAATGGCGGCCAGGTATGTTCGGTCCATTCTGAAATTATTTTCAGTCCTACGTTATGACACAGATTTCTTCCTGCATTTCGGTAAGGACGCGTTCGAATTATAAGGTAAGGGCAAATAAAATGTTAAAAGTTTAAATTCAAGCGTTTCGTTATAGTTAAAAAAAAAAAATGAGTATGAAGTCTTTGCCTCGATGAATGGGCTTGCCTACTCGCACACACATCAATATATCTAATAATTACGCTTTTGTTAGTTTCTCTGAAGAATCAATATGCTACCTTTGACGCTAGTATTTGCAACATATGTTAGATCGGTAATTATTGGCGTCACAACCGGCTTAGTCATAATACGATACACCCGCAAAAACAAATATATATTCTTGATCACTAGCAGAACAGTAACAATCGTCACAAGACGCTATGTCGCACTTACTCTATTCTTAGTTGAGCTGAGCGCCTTGATCTGCGTTTTAAAACTCGGTGAAGCAATTCTGAAAAATTTATTTAATATTTTTATATTGGTTTGCGATACGTATCAATAGTTAGAGGGAATATACTCTTCCCAACTGTTTAACTTAACCAAACAATGCTAAAAGGAAAGATTGTAACAAGAAAATGCACAAGTAAGAAAGTTATATTCGACTGGGCATGAATATCGCATACCCACCGCCATTACAATTTTTGATGAATGGGATAAATGGGAAAATTTCAGCCTATCTTTCTAACTTTTATATAATCTGCGAATAATGAGCAAAAACCAATAAATTTTTGTTAAGAAATAACCGGTTGCGTTCAATCTATGCTCCAGTGCGGCTTTGTACTCTGACCAATTTCGCCCATTTTCAATGCCAACCTGCATACAAGAACTTCCAATGCTTCTGGCGAATATGAAGTGGACAGTTTAATTTTTGCGGCCATTTGCGGAATATTTAAAAGAGCCATCTAACAGACGGACGGACATATACAATTTAGAATTTCATGCTGATCAAGAATATATATATAAATTGTAGGGTTTCATTCCAAATGTTGCAAACATTATGACACATCAGTACGCCTAGTTCTTCATAATAAACATCATGTTTGCAAAAGCCCTGCCTTGGCCATGCTCTAATATTTCAATAGCTTATATACGATGACAAACGTATTAAGATTTAAGTTTTTTTTTTTTTTAATGTTGAGATTAAGTAGACTAAGTCAATGAGAAATGTGATTTACATGTCCAGATTATAGCATATGATTGTTTGCAACATATATATATATATTGTTAAACGTTTTCCTAACTTAAAAAGACAAATTCGATTTTCTAATAAAGCCAGCTAGTTATCCATGATAAGCATCATTTTTTGCTCTGAATAGATTAAAGAGGACAACGTGTCAACTGAGAAGGTTGAAAGGACTTCTAATATTATCAAAATTACAACAAATGAGGATGAGATGTTCTATTACGTAGTACAACAAGCTTTACAAATATCGTCCGGTACGGCACTAATCCGTCTCATATACACTCTTTTACTAGTTTGGGCCGTCGTGGGTCTGTGAAGTGCTTTGATCTCCCAGCAATCTAAAGCCGGTTCCTAATAGAGGTCTAACGTTCAAAGTAGTACTTTGTTTCTTCGCAATTTGTCAATTCCATCACTTAATTTCTGAAAGCTAGGTTTTCGAAATACCTCTGTCGCTTCATTACGCGTAGACTTGTTAGACAAAGATGTATCCATCAAATTGCGCTCTTTCTGGATGAAAATCGACAATGTTATTTAAAAAAAAAAAAAAGCCATAATGACTTGGTACCCATATAAAGGGACACGCCACTACTTAAGACTCATACGTCGTCATCTTATGTATTTCGAGCTCATATTGATTATTTACAGCAAAGCTGATTTGTTGTCTGAAAAAGTAAACTTTCCCTATGAGAAAAAGATGGCGAAGAGTTCATCCAACACTCTGAGTGTTTATTGAAAAACGAACCAAACGTTAGGTATTACAAAACATTCGATAGAAATCGGATATTATTACAGTCGCCTCTTTCAAATCGCAGAAATTGAACACGTAATCGCGAGTTTTGTAAACAAATATAGAAAAAAAAAAAGTTATATAAAAAGTTAGGAGTCAAATCGCTGTAAAAAAAAAAACACTCTTAACATTTATATTTTGCCTTCGCGTCATCTGCCGATTTGTTAAATGTACATAGATATTATTTAATAAACACTTTTGTATCCAAATTAAATAAATTTGTATTTCAAACTATAGCACCGCCTTCTTTAGAACCTGTTGTTGCCCTGGAATTTGACTTCTCTTGTTTCACTTTATCGACATAAATATTAAGAACAGCTTCAATTCCCGGATAGAGAGCAAAGTTTGTTGTACGTATTTTTTTATCTATCAAATACGAAGTCACTGAATCAGTATTAAATGCTAAATCTAGGGCATCATTGTGCGTAACATTATCAATGTGGCTGCGGGCTATTTTTATAATACAATTTTCGAAACCATTCACTTTAACGGTCAAATCGACTTTGTACTGTTGATCGATTTCTGGCCATCTTTGAGCGAGCACATCTGTTTCCCAATTGAAATCAGTAGGCGAAGTATTTAAACGATTGGGCGCAGAAACAAACTTCGACCACAATTCAGATGTAAAATGAGGAGCCATTGGTGCCAGCATTATTAATTGGGCTGCCAGAGATCGTTCGTATTCTTTGCTAAAGACCTGGGTGGATTTCGAAGCTCGCTATACTTCAATAGAAAAGAAATATATAATGAATACGACAGTTAGCCTTAGGAGATTCTTATTCTTACCTTTAAAGAATTGGTCAGACCTTGCATTTTGGATATGGCCACGCTTAATTGATAGGCATGACGATAATTAAATGTGACCCCCTTAATATAGAAATTGCGAGCATCAAATAACTTGTCCTCTTCCGCTTTGAACTCAATACTGTTTATGTCAATCTTGCAGCTTTCTGGAGAGGACCGCAAATCACAGAACTCGTTAACCATTCGCCATAAACGCTTTTGCCAATTCAGAATTCCCGGAAACGCTGAAACGTAAAAACGTTCATATATTTTTCAACTTGAACGTTTTTAGGCCGAGTGCTGAACTTACTCGCATTTGACCAGTTACGATGGGAGGTTGGCGCTACATCGGCTAATATTATTAATCTTGTTGTGTCAGTGCCGTATTCTCTGAACATGTCTGTCGGATCCACGCCATTCATTTTTGACTTGGACATTTTCTCCCACGATATCACCACTGGCTCTTTTGTCTCCTTCATGATTGCCTGATTTCGTTTGGCATTTACAATTTCAACTTCGTGCTCCTGGACGTAACGACCGCTCCCTTTAACACGGTAGGAACGACCCATAACCATACCCTGAACTAAAAGACGCGAAAAAGGCTCCTGTGTTGGTACTAAGCCCTGACTGTGCAAAAAATGATTTATAAAACGCGCATAATATAAATGTAGGACGGCATGCTCTTTACCACCAATGTACAAATCCACCGGCATACATTGATGTGCTAAACGTTTGTCAAACATTTCATGTTTATTATTTGCATCTAAATAACGTAAATAGTACCAAGAACTGTCAAAAAACGTATCCATTGTATCCGTCTCGGGGCGCGCGGCAGTATTGCCGCATTTGGGACAAGAGCATTCCAAAATATCCTTAACTGCGCTTTTGAAGGCAGACTTTTCAGGTAATCTCACCGGCAATTGGGAATCCGGTACCGGTACAGCGCCACATTTATCACAATGTATTATAGGTATAGGAGTACCCCAGTACCTTTGTCGCGATATTAGCCAATCTTGCAGTTTTGAGGATACACTATATCCACCAAGTTTAAGGCGCCCAGCGGTTTCTAAAACATCGTTTCGTAAATCAACCACTTTTAGGCTTTCAAAGTTTAATTCGTTATCAGCAAAGAAACTAAGACTAAGCGATCTCTGCAATTCTTTATCCTCTTCACGAAAATTGGGAGCAGCTAAGTAAACATCGCATTTTTCAGGAAAAGCTGGCTCATTACTAAATATTAATGGCATTATAGTGCCTGTAAAAGGATTTTCAACGGTCATATGTACTTCGTCTTGTGCCACTTTACCCAGGTAATGTTCAGTTTTGAGCACGACGAAAGCGTTAGGATCCTTAAAATGCTCGGGTTGAGCAGTCCAGACGCGTAAATAATTTGACCCAGATGTAAGCAACTGAAAACTGTAACCATTGCATTCTCCTATCCAATGGCGTTGTAAGTTAATAATATCTCTCCAATCCTTAAGTGTGCAATCATCTAGACCTTCTAATAATTGTTTGGCATAGGCAGTGCTTTTGATAAACCATTGTTTCAATAAGCGTTTCTCTACTTTTGCACCTGAACGCCAAGAGCAACCATTATCATCGACTTGCTCGTCAGCCAGTACTGTTTTATCTACCGGATCCCAATTCACTAAAGCCTCATTCTGATAAGCCATCCCTTCGTTATAGAGCATAAGGAAAAGTTTTTGCGTCCATTTATAATATTCTAAGCTGCAAGTGTTCAACTCGTGCGACCAATCAAACGAACATCCCAAATCTGTTACTTGCTGTTTCATTTGTGCAATATTTCGTTCTGTCCAAACTTTGGGTTCTATACCTCGTTGTATAGCTGCATTTTCAGCTGGCAATCCAAAAGCATCCCACCCCATTGGATGGAATACATTTTTACCGCACATTCTTTGGAAGCGAGCTATTGCATCACTAATCGTATACACACGTACATGACCCATATGTAAATTTCCGGAAGGATATGGAAACATGGATAACACATAAAATTTGTTACCTAGTGCTGTATCATTAAATTGTTTTTGATTTAAATATTTACACCAATGCTTCTCAATACAGTGTTTCAATTCTTTCGTCAATTCCACATCCTAAAATAATAGCAAACAAAATTTTATGATCTTATAACTCCATAAAAATAATTCTTGTACTCAATGACACGTAAAGAGAATTTACATTTTTTTAAAAATAATTATTACAGAGCAAAACCATTTCATTTATATTTGGAACGATCCAATCAGATCTGAAATGGACACTTCAAGAGAAAATTTGTTGCATCATTTAGTGATTGGACGTTTTGCAATACCTTTACATCTGTACAACTTCGTGACACCCAACGCCTTTTATATAAATCAGTAAAACGTTTTAAAGACTTAAGTTGCGATAGTATCTGCATTTCTTTCTTTTAAGTTCAATTTATTAATTCAAAGAAAAACGACAAAGTCTTATTAGATGCTCTTACTCCAAGAGTCTATCGAGTTATATACCGCTTTTTCATTCATTTACAACAGCTGACTAACCAAACATCAATTCATAGCAGCTGTTGTAACGATTTCAAAACAAAAATAATCGCTAAAATTGATGACTACTTACGTTAAGTAATGTCAATATAAAAAAAAAAGTATTAAAAAAACGGGATAGCGATAATGGAACTATTTCGAGGGAGTAAGTGTATGTGAAGCTGGTCTTTCCAAATACCAAAAAACGTATTAAGTTATACAACTAATTGCAAAGGATATCAAACAATTAAATAAATCGTAAATAATTTCAAGCTTCATAAATATTTTCATTGCAGTTATTTTTACTTTTGCATTGCATCATCTGCATCTTTGTCCGGGGCAAACAAACAACGAAGCTTCGCTTACATTCCCACAAATTACGTAATTACACAATACAGAATAAAAGCTGGATTTGCAAGCCTTACCATATTATTGTATAAGAAAAACTAAACAAATCTGTGTTCATGTAACAACTAATATATAGAAGCATGCACAATGCGGCGCCGTTTTCGTTTTTGGTCAAAAACTCGCAATGGACGGCCGCGCTATCATGTTGTTTTAAGAGAAAATGTAAACATAAACAAGAAATTCATGAAAAACAATAGTAATGGAATTAGTATAAAAATAAACAAGCTTGTTCATTGCTTAGTGATAAAGAAGATTGACTAGATATACGTAGACATATATAAGAGATATAGATTTGTGTATTAGATGATCGATAATTTGAAAATTATTATATAACGTTGCCTAATCAAACAATATGATGAACATATTTCAACCTTAAAATACATGGTCTTTAGCGCTTGTTTTTCATTTCTTACATATAATGCAGAGTATAAACCGCAATTGCAAATCAAATAATATAAAGAAAGTGTACACTGGTATAAGATAAACATAAATTAGATAAATATTTTTTAAATTATAATAAATCGCCTTTGTTTCTTCTTACGCATTTTTATTTTCTTTTTTTCTTCATTTAATTGCGTCAATGAAGTCCCTCTTTTCCTTACCCTTTTTTTTAAACTCAATTTTTTTATTTTTTATTTCAATAATCAATCAAAAATTTAATTTGTATCGTTGTTTTCCATATATGTTTGACATAAATAGCTTTAACTAATTTTTCTTATCAAATAATGTTGTAACGCAGCTTTCCATTATTCTTACCACTTGAGACTGTATAAATTGGAAAACGCAATTACGTATCATAATAATAGCTCCCATAATGTACGGGCACAAGTGTAAATTAACTATGATTAAGGTTCAATAAGAAAAATGATTGCATTTAGAATGGAAAGACGATTTTTTAAGTAAGCTTCGTTATTTATAAATGAATTACTTCTAAAGTTGTGATACGATGCGTGTTATGTGGCTTTCCCTTTATGCCAAATCGCGGTACCAACTGCTTAAAGCAAAAAAACTTTTCTTTCTAGGTTGGCTGCCCTATTTTTTTGCACACAAAGTCGATAATACTTCTTAGCAAGTGTAAATTTTTTGACTGACTTTTAACTAGTTGGAATACATAAAAATTTTTTTTCTTAAAGAATTAGAATCAAAAAAATCCAAGTGAAGTGTGTTAAAATGACTGATTCTTTGGATAATGCTGATACGTCAGTAGAAACAGTTCCAAATATTACAATAGTTGATTATGGAGCTTTTGCTAATTACATCCGCAAAGCTGTTACTATTTTATTGCCAGAGGAAGATGTGGTGCCACCGGCTTTAAATTTAGCATTAGAAGATCCAGATAACCAAGAAAGGATTAAAAAATTTCTTGCGGACTCTCAGGTCCAAGCCTTGTATATTCAAAGGAATTGCCTGAAAGGTTAGAAAATAAAACTTGCAATAAAAACAAGGCTGACGCCCTCTAACAAAATAGTGACTGGAATGACTGGAATGTAGATCTTTTAATTAAAATGTGAAAATTATTGAAAAAATTTATACAAATTTATCACTCATTATAGGTTTTTATTTCAAAATTGAACGCATATCTCTCGATGGGTAAAAATCAATAATTTTACTAATGACAGTGAAATCTCGTTTTTCGGCATAAATGAGTCATAGATATTTTTTTTTTGTTTCTTTTTTTTTTTTTATTTGTATACTTGTCGGAGTATTATGAACCGGCGCAAATACGAGCAGCTGTAAATTTTAAAATCTAGTCTTTTGTCTACAGCTCTATTTTATTGTATTTGAATATATGCAAAAACTGCTTTCCGTAATTTCGTCGCCATTTGGAAGATAATTATGTACAAATACGTGCTCCATTTTTCACATTTCCTGAATCGCAGATTACATTAAGTAGTATATTATCTGGACATATAAGCCACAAATCTATTGGCTTAGTCCATCTCTGTTCAACATACCAAAAAAAAAAAAAAATAAGTTAGGAGTTCTTCCTATCATTGCGGTAGTTTTAAATACTGTCAGAGCCGATAGCCTGTGTTGCTAGTGCTCAATGTCTCTTTTTTTAGTCTAAGAATTCAATTCATTAGTCTAAAATTAAAATAATAATAATAATAAATACTGTCAGAAAAAATACACTAAGCATAAATCTTAACAAACTTTGCGAGAGATTCACTTTGCACATAACAATGCGAAATCTAACCACAGGAATGCAATAACATTTTCAGTCTTAGTTCTGGGTGACATAGAAATAATCCATTTGAAAATCTTTATTGCTACTGACGTATCAAAATAAAGTAGCCTAAGTCGTCAACATATATGTTGATGGATTATTTCAATAAAACAAAATATTCTTAGTTAGAAATTCTGAGCGAGCTATTTTCGACCTTTTCGTTAAAGTATTAACATCCTCTTTGCACTTTAATAAAAAAGAAAAAAAAAAATATCGCTCTCATCGGACGTTGATATAAATGATCGAGAATTACTTTAGCGACTTATTTTAAACATTCAAACCTAACTTTCATTCCGATATATGTAAAATATTGATAAAAATGTGTTAGCATTTCTTTGCTTTTGGCATTTAGTCCCATTTATTTTTTTCTAGATTTCTAGTCCCTAGTGGTTTTATCGTTCCTTTTAATGTTTCTTTTAAAGATTTTTGTGTCGTAAGTATTCAAGCAGAGGGATGGTTCAGTCCATTCGGAAGTTTCACACTGTGTTAAAGTAAATATCTTTTATAAGAACGCATAGTACATATATAACATGAAGTAGATATTGTTTGCATGTGAATCATAGGAATTCTCTAAAACACATGAATTAATTGATCGAAGGGAGAATACATATTCATTAGTGCGTCCATTTGGATTTAGATTTGCAATTTTCGTCTAATGGAATATACTTGAGATGCAAATTTTTCTTGTTAGTTCCAAAGTCGAAACATGGATACACAATTACCGAACAATTATGTCTAAATGAGGCGGAATATCTAAATAGGATTTCAACCACATACGACGCGAGAGCTCAAATTTTCATTCCATTTCACAACCAATGGTACATATTAAATATATATATAGATCGGATCTCACACATTGGAAAACGGATGTATAATTGATTTTCCTTTCATTTGCAACGCCCAAAAATAAGCATCAGAGATGTTGCACAGAACATTCCGAGTGTACTGCTACGTTCAAAAAATAAAGCCGAAATTTTTTTTCTTTATATTATTCGATTTCTTTAGCTTATAAATTGTGAAATTTACTGCTCAAATCTCTGCTTTGTTATCACACGTCCATACTCCCATCTTTTATGGACAAAAGTGAAAACAAAGAAAAAAATCAAGCTCTTTAAAGTCAATAAATTAAAAAAGGGAACCAAAATGATCGGAAATTGTGTAATGTATATAAAGAAGAAGAACACGCCCAAGTTAACAATAATAAGTCAATAAGTTAACAGAAAGAGCCAAATGCTAGGGAATAACTTAAATTAAATCGCTGACTACCTTTAAAGGAGAAGAAATTTTAGAAAGATTAGAAAAGTGTTTTGTTACTTTCCTTGAATTTTCTCAAAGAATTTTCAAAGTAAATAAAATTATTGCACAAAGAATTTATATTAAATTCTCTTTATAGTAACAAAAATCTTAAAAATCCAAATCACTTAAAAAAAAACAATTTGCCCTTACCGTCCGTTTGTCTTCTCGGCTATGTGAATGAGTGTAAATTCTTTTGAAAGCAGGATTGTGTTGAAGTCTCTCAATTGATGAGTAATGAAGGTCTCAAATACATACGATTATGATCCGACAACTGTCGATAATCAAGCGAATATCATGTTAAGGCTTAATCTCTATCGAAGAAATCACGTCAAAGAAAATTACTAATTCTTCTTCGTCCTTTGATTTTCGTTACGCTATTGATAAGTAATTCATTTCAAAATGTTGAAACAATTAATGCGAAACCTAAAATATTATTTAGGCCGTCAGCGCCGTTTTTATTATTATAATGATCCGCCTGAGGGGCCGAGTAGGCAAGAGTCTCGACTAGCAACTCAATTATCATGGGTTCAAATCACAAGTGCAGTAGAGTTTTTAATAAAGCCGAAAGCCTTAGATGCTAGTGCTTTAAGTGCTTTAGTCTTAGAATTTATTCTCTGGCTAAATTTATAATAGTAACAATAATATTACTATAGTGAACATTTGAATACATTAGTAGTTATTTGTCAATTTTGCAACAGACACCATTTCTTTCTGATGTAGACCCCAATGACCGTTTTCTCTTCTCACGAGTCAAGAGACTCCGAGAGATAGTTTCCTTGTTGCCTTGAAGTCTATGTTGCAATAGACCACCCTCTGAGTGGTGATCTTCTGCGGCTGTTAATGACAGTAACTGCCTACAAAAAGAAGGCCACGTTTTTGTTACTATTCTCTCGCATAAACTAAGGTGCACGTCTCTATTTTGTAAAGATTGGTGATTTTGAGTTTGCACAATTACCTCTGCGAGGTGCTGTCGAGCTGTATAAAAATGTATAATAATTCATAGAAGACAGCGTAACTCGTATCTTTCAAATAAAGCCCATATTAACAAGGGACGGTTACTATGATATTGTGATTCAAGTCCAATATAGCTTTTCTTCTTATTTCTATATTTTGTTACCTCTATTAATACTAAGATACTTTACAACTTTTTTCTAAGTAACAGAATGTTGTTGCATATGGGGCGCAAACATGCTACTCATTACAATAAATGTACACTACTATTTACATAAGATTAAGAGTAAGTTTACCGCGTTTAATGACATCATACATTTTGATAATAATATATATAATGGAATATCTAAACGTAAATATGACCTTGATGATTAATTTATATACATGAAGACGCAAAAGTCTTGATATACGTTATGTTCGATATAAAGTATGTAAACAAATCTTTTAAGAGTTGCACGATGAGTCCAAAAACAAATATTTCTGTAGGGATGACCATGTCCCATCAAAAAAAAAATAAATAATAATAATTCAAAGTGTATAAAAGGCTAAATAGAATGATGGCGATATAAGATAGTGAATATAGGAGCAGGTAAAAGACAAAAACAACGAACCCCTTAACTCAAAATGCTTTATTTCGTTAACAGATTTTTCTTCATTAAAGGCCTACTGGAGAGTTTCTTCTTGAACCTTAAGTTGAGAAAACGTGTTAAGACTTTTGCAATCATCTGTATGCATAGCAGATATAGTTTATTTATCTCTCTATATGTAATTTTCTCAATCATGAAGGCCAAAGTGTATGAGGCCGTGAAAGTGACATTGAATTGAAGGCTGCGTGCTTGTTTAATATTATCAATGCCATGCCATTGATATCAAGGTTCCGAGAGCAATGTTCTAAAAGCACCTTCAAACTCAAGGTAAAAACTTAAACGTTAGCGCAGTATATATTATGAAGGCAAATTTTGTGTTACTTGATGATGGTATATATATATTTTTTTTTTTTCTTTTTTTTTTTTCTGCAATTTGAATTATAAGAAAGTTGTATGGTCCTGCCTTTTTAAGCTTAAGTGGGAGGGGTAGAATTCGTTAATCTTATTATGGAAAAAAAAATAATGATGATTTTTTCTCCCAACAGAGGATGAAAACGAACAGCCAGCCGAGGGAGAAGAAGAAAAGGAATTTGTTAACTATCAAATCAGCAATGACGTACACTTCACCAATAGCCGCATGGCATCGCTGGCCTGCATTAAACGGGGCACTGTAATAGAGGCCGACAAATCGATTCATTCTCAATTACGGTTAATTAACTTTTCGGATGGTTCACCTTATGAGACCTTGCATGCTTTCATTAGCAAATCTTTGGCGCCATATTTCAAATCTTATGTTAAGGAATCGGGCAGAGCGGACCGTGATGGCGATAAAATGGCTCCTTCGGTCGAGAAGAAATTAGCTGAATTGGAAATGGGTTTATTGCATTTGCAACAAAACATCGACATTCCAGAAATCACTTTAACTGCTCATCCTATCGTTAATGCGGTTATACGTAAGTGTGTCGACGAGAATCGCAAAGCTAAGGTGGCCGACTTCGGCGATAAAGTGGAAGATTCGTCTTTCTTGAATCAATTGCAAAATGGTGTAAATCGTTGGATTAAAGAAATTAAAAAAGTTACGAAACTGGATCGTGATCCTTCCTCGGGTACTGCTCTGCAAGTGCGTTTCAGTCCCTATTCCCTGCTTTTTTTCGTATATTTTGTTTAATGTTATGTTTTAAAATTCGAATTTTAGGAAATATCTTTTTGGCTGAACAAGGAGCGTGCTTTATATCGCATACAGGAGAAACGAGAGTCACCTGAGGTAGCTCTGACTTTGGATATCTTGAAACATGGCAAACGTTTTCATGCCACTGTTTCTTTTGATACCGATACTGGTCTTAAGCAAGCTTTAGCCATTGTTGCGGATTATAATCCCCTTATGAAAGATTTTCCAATTAACGATTTATTATCAGCTACGGAATTGGAAAAGATACGCCCAGCCGTTATACAAATTTTCTCTCATTTGCGCAAAGTGCGTAATACTAAATACCCCATACAACGCTGTCTTAAACTTATCGAAGCTATCTCACGTGATTTATCACAACAACTGCTTAAAGTGTTGGGTACCCGACGCCTTATGCATATACCATTCGATGAATTTGAACGTGTTATGAATCAATGCTTTGAGATTTTCAGCTCTTGGGATGACGAATACGACAAATTGCAGGGTTTGCTACGTGACATTGTCAAGAAGAAACGCGATGAGCATATGAAAATGGTGTGGCGCGTTTCGCCAGCCCACAAAAAATTGCAAACTCGCATGGAGCATATGCGCAAATTTCGTCGCCAGCATGAACAGCTACGTACAGTTATATTGCGTGTATTGCGTCCTACTAAAAATCAGCAACAAACTGGCGAAAACAATGCCGGTGAGAATAAGCAGCCATACAGTTTAGAAGCGGCTGATGCCAACGCCATCGAAGAAGTTAACTTGGCTTACGAAAATGTCAAAGAGGTAGACTGCTTAGATATATCCAAAGAAGGTTCTGAAGCGTGGGAGGCGGCCGTTAAACGTTACGAAGAACGTATTGATCGTGTAGAGACACGTATAACGGCGCATTTACGTGACCAATTGGGCACGGCTAAAAATGCTAATGAAATGTTTCGCATATTTTCACGTTTCAATGCATTATTCGTGCGGCCGCATATACGAGGGGCTATACGAGAATATCAGACTCAATTGATTCAACGAGTCAAAGACGATATTGAGGCATTGCATGAGAAATTTAAGGTAGTACATCAAATAAAGGAGAGGATGAAAAATTTAATTGTTTTTTAATATATTTTTATGCGTTCAGGTGCAATATCCACAATCCAAAAGCTGTCGTCTGTCTACGGTACGCGATTTGCCACCAGTGGCTGGCTCGATTATCTGGGCTCGCCAAATCGATAATCAGTTGACGATGTACTTGAAACGCGTCGAAGATGTTTTGGGCAAAGGATGGGAAACTCATATTGAGGGACAAAAACTCAAGGCCGACGGCGATAGTTTTCGCAATAAATTGAATATACAGGAGGTATTTCAGGAGTGGGCTCGTAAAGTCCAAGAACGTAACTTCGGCAGCTCTGGACGCATTTTTACAATCGACCCTGTACGCTCACGTCATGGCCGCGGGAACGTCTTAAAATTGCGCGTCAACTTTTTACCCGAAATTATTACTCTTTCTAAGGAAGTGCGCAACATCAAGAACTTGGGATTCAGGTAAGCGACATGAAATTTGTTAAAAAAGTTTGTCCGTTGTGCGTCCTCTACGCAACAATATTTCAATTTCAATTTCAATTTTTCGTCGATTTGTATTGACGGTATTATAATATAAATGTACTGATCAGGATGAGATTTTCAGTCGGTTGTTGTGGTCAATTGAGTCGGAAGACCAATAAAATAAAATGAGATAAAGAACTAAAAAATTTTGAACTTTTTAAATTCTTGGATCAGTATTATCAATCGGGACGGGGCGGAACCTGTTCTGACACATGGCCTATTGTGTTTACATTTTTATGACAGTTTCACCGAAAAGTTTCTTTTGTTCTTATATTCCTTATTAACTTTACTGTTACTATTATTGTTGTCATTATTATATTATTTTCATTTTTCTGTAGAGTGCCTCTGACGATTGTGAATAAAGCTCATCAGGCTAATCAAATTTATCCTTATGCGATTTCTTTGATCGAAAGTGTACGTACCTACGAGCGGACTTTGGAAAAGGTATACATATATGTGATCAATATTTCTTTAAATAGATCTTTCAATGCAATAACTGGAAGCGAACACAAAACACACGTATTATAAATTATTTCACACATTTGTTTTGCAAAATTTTTTTCACTTATTTATTATAAGTACTTATTTGAAAGAAAAAAAAAAAAAAAAAAAAAAAAAAATTCACACGCACACATATTCACTTCAGTGCAGTTTTTACTTCGTTTATCGTTTATTTGAGCATATTTTTATTAATTGTAATACACCGCCCCTCTACACATTGATAAGACAACATTCTAAACGTACTTCTTCTTTTGTATCCCTATCATTATCCATCGAATATGACGTTTTACTTACATGCAGCTAAATAATAGGAGTTTAGCACAAAACTCTGTCTTCAAGGTAGCGTTTTTGTAAAAGCAAATTTGAAGTTTTCTTAAAATCAAATAATTATTTATAAGCAAACAAAGCATGCATTCTATAAAGCACTTAATCAATAGTAGTCGGTCATGAGTTTGTTTTTAGCTTTGCTTATTGCTTCCTAATCCTATTATTACGTTAATGTCAATAAATAAATTTTTTGATTTAGATTGAAGATCGGGCCAGTATTGTTCCTCTAGTCGCCGGTTTGCGAAAGGAAGTTCTAAATTTGGTATCCGAAGGTATCGGTCTAGTATGGGAATCCTATAAACTAGATCAATATGTGCTGCGTCTATCTGAGTGCGTTACTCAATTTCAAGAAAAGGTAAGTTCAAGTAAAAATACTAAGCTAACGTATAAGTTTCTAAGCTTTAAATACTCACCATTCAAATTGTAACATATAGGAAAGAAATAGTATATTCACAAACGTACACACATATTTACATATACATATATATATATATTTACAAATGTATGTATGTATGAGTTTAGGGGTGTAAGTCTCGCTTTTACTAGAGACACGTCCATGCAGGTCTCTATCCGGCACTCGACACGATTAATTACCATCGGAGCGAGAAATTCGCGCTTCCCCGTCGGACACTCTGGTGTTAAGCCTTCACGGAAGGAACTCATATTAAATTTTCGCTATTCTGGCTTTTTGGGAATTGATGGGTGTGAAAGCAAAAAGGTGTGAAAAAGAGTAGGTTCATAAATTGACTGTAAACGCTTATATGTATTGATGACATGATTTAAAAAAAGAAAAGATCGCGACGTAAGTTGTTGAATTGCAAGAACACAAAATGTGAAGAATGCTGTGGTCACGAAGACCACATATACTTAATTGGCGTAGTGTGGAATGGCGAATAGAAGTGGTAACTTTCGGGCAGGCAAAGACGATACGATCAAGAGATTGTAGGACACCACACGTGCATAAAGGGTTGTTTACTATGTTAATTTCGAGTAGATGATCATTGCACCTCGTGTGATTGAACATCAGTTTGTTAATAAGACAAATAATGTCACGTCTGTAGCGACGCGATTGATAAACTAAAGGGCTTTATTTGTGAAAATAAAGAGTATAAATGACGACCATAAAGTGAATTATTCCATCGCTAATGCCAAGAAAGAACTGAATGTTTTTGTCGATTGTCCTCAGACGTGCAGGAACCAGAACACGATCATTAAAATGAGATGGTCGGGAAGATTCAATTTTATCCGCAGTGTTGTTGTAGGAATGCGACGGGACACCCAGAAAAAGTAAAAACAAAATGTGTCAGACTTAAGGCTATAAAGTAAGGATCTGAATTCTAACACGTAGGGGTAAGTTTTACCTGAGGGAAATGATTGTAAAGCGAATAAAACAGATTTTCTGTCTGACACTACAAGGAACTTCTTTTGAGGTTGAGTACTCGCTAAGCGGACAGCATTTAAGATCACATGGCATTCAGCCGAAAATATAGTGATTTATAGGTGATTTGAGAAGTAATGTGCAAAGCGAACAAAATATTTTAAAAATTGTAAAAATTGTACATTTCAATGCAGTTCGAAGTTTCCGTCTTCATATGCTAACAAAACTGAAATTTGAATTCTATCTATCAATTTATTCGTACTAAGAAATGTTTATGACCACTTTTCCTGTGATTAAAGTCTTTGTAAAAGAATGTTTAAAAGCACAAATAATAATTCATAGTGACATACATAGGGAGATTTGTAAGTTCGCGTTTCTTCTAGAAACAATTAATGGTCCGATAACGAGTGACAATAAATGTAGCATTACGTGGCCAACAAAAGCAATTAGTAAATCTATTTTAGTGAAATCGCAGGTGCCATAGGCTTTCACATCGTAGACAAGGATTTCTGCTTGATGATCATTTATCTTTCCAATGAAAATCTTAAATGTTTGAGTATTTTACCCATTTTATATAGTTTTAAAACCTAAACCTCCTTGCATTTTTAAGGTTGAAGATCTTCTCGTAGTCGAAGAGCAACTCGATGTAGATGTGCGCTCTTTGGAAACTTGTCCATATAGTGCTGCCACGTTTGTTGAGATCCTTTCAAAAATTCAACATGCTGTCGATGACTTGTCGTTGCGTCAGTATTCGAATTTAAGCGTTTGGGTTTCCCGTCTCGATGAAGAAGTCGAGAAGAAATTGGCTTCACGTTTGCAAGCAGGCATACAAGCATGGACCGAAGCTTTGACTGGTGATAAAAAGGAAGTTGATCTTTCTATGGATACCGATGCTCCGGCTCAACCTACCCATAAACTTGGCGGCGAACCGCAAATACAAAATGCCGTGCATGAAATACGAATTACTAATCAACAAATGTACTTATATCCTTCCATCGAGGAAGCACGTTTTCAAATTATGCAACAGTTGTTCGCATGGCAAGCCATCGTTACATCGCAAGTACGTTTACAAAGTTCCCGTTATCAGGTGGGCTTAGATAAACCAGTATCACAAACGTATCGGAATTTATTGACCAAACTGCCGGATGGTAAAGTGTTGGAAAATGCCTACGAGGCTATCGAAAGTAAAATAAGTGAGGTACGTAACTATGTCGATGAATGGTTGCGTTATCAAAGCTTATGGGACTTGCAAGCTGATACTTTGTACGGTCGCCTAGGCGAAGATGTTAATTTGTGGATTAAATGCTTAAATGATATCAAAAAATCTCGTACTACATTTGACACTTCGGATACCCGTCGTGCTTACGGGCCAATCGTCATTGATTACGCGAAAGTGCAGGCTAAAGTTACTTTGAAATATGACTCTTGGCATAAAGAAGCTTTGGGCAAATTTGGCACTTTACTTGGCAACGAGATGACTACCTTCCACGCTAAGGTCTCCAAATCAAGAACTGATTTAGAAATGCAAAGCATTGGTAAATTTATATTTATTTGTTCAGAGAGTAAAATTATTATCATATAAGTATTCCATAAACAGAGGCGGCCAGCACTACTGACGCTGTTAGCTTTATTACTTACGTTCAGTCATTGAAGAAAGAAATGCTGCTTTGGGATAAACAGGTGGAAGTGTTCCGTGAAGCCCAACGTATTTTGGAGCGACAACGCTTCCAGTTCCCCAACAATTGGTTACATGTTGATAACATCGAAGGAGAATGGTCTGCCTTTAACGAGATCATTAAGCGTAAGGACACCGCTATACAAACGCAAGTGGCAAGTTTGCAGGCGAAAATTGTTGCTGAAGATAAAGCTGTGGAGACAAGGACCATCGATTTCTTAAATGATTGGGAGAAAAATAAGCCTACTGGTGGCAAAATACGACCGGATGACGCTTTACAACAATTACAAATCTTTGAAAGTAAATACACACGTCTCAAAGAGGAACGTGATAACGTGGCTAAGGCCAAAGAAGCGTTGGAATTGCAAGAGTCAGCTATTGCTAACAATAGTTCGGAGCGTATGAATGTGGCTTTAGAAGAGTTACAAGACTTGCGAGGAGTCTGGAGTGAATTATCCAAAGTTTGGTCACAAATCGATGAAACTCGGTAAGTACTCCATATCTGCTCATTTATCGGATTATTCTTTTTATTAATCATTTGCATGGTAGAGAAAAACCTTGGCTTTCGGTACAGCCGCGAAAACTACGCCAACAATTGGAAGCTATGATGTCTCAACTTAAAGAATTACCTGCACGCTTACGTATGTACGAATCGTACGACTATGTAAAGAGATTAATACAAAGTTACATCAAGGTAAACATGTTAATTGTGGAATTGAAGTCGGATGCATTGAAAGAGCGTCACTGGAAACAATTAACAAAACAATTGCGTGTCAAATGGGTAATTTCTGACCTAAGTTTGGGTCAAGTTTGGGACGTAAATCTTCAGAAAAATGAAAACATAGTGAAAGATATCATATTAGTGGCACAAGGTGAGATGGCCTTGGAGGAATTCCTTAAACAAGTGCGCGAATCTTGGCAAAGTTACGAATTAGATTTGATTAATTATCAAAATAAATGTCGTATTATACGTGGATGGGATGATCTGTTCAATAAAGTCAAAGAGCATATTAATTCAGTGGCAGCGATGAAACTATCACCTTATTACAAAGTATTCGAAGAAGAAGCTTTGACTTGGGAGGAAAAATTGAATCGTATCAATGCGTTATTCGACGTTTGGATTGATGTACAACGTCGTTGGGTCTATTTAGAAGGCATATTTTCGGGAAGTGCTGATATTAAAACTTTGCTACCACAAGAGACTTCACGATTTCAGAGTATCAGCTCAGAGTTTTTAGGGTTGATGAAAAAGGTAGCCAAATCGCCCAAAGTAATGGACGTTTTAAATATACCGGCCGTGCAGCGTTCCTTAGAACGCTTGGCTGACCTGCTAGGCAAAATTCAGAAAGCTCTAGGCGAATATCTTGAACGTGAACGTACATCTTTTCCACGATTCTATTTTGTGGGGGACGAAGATCTTTTGGAAATCATTGGCAATAGCAAAAATATTGCTCGCTTACAAAAGCATTTCAAGAAGATGTTCGCTGGAATTGCTGCGATATTATTAAATGAGGAGAATAATGTTATTTTGGGTATATCGTCCAGAGAAGGCGAAGAAGTGAAATTTATAAATCCTGTTTCCACGGTCGAACATCCAAAAATTAATGAATGGTTGTCTTTGGTGGAGAAACAAATGCGTTTCACTTTGGCTTCTTTGTTGACCCAAGCCGTCCAGGATATCAAACAGTTCCGAGATGGCCAGATAGATCCACAAAAATATATGGAATGGTGCGATAAATATCAAGCCCAGATAGTTGTTTTAGCTGCACAAATTTTATGGTCCGAAGATGTAGAAAGCGCTTTGCAACAGGCATCAGAAAGTCACACTACAAAGCCTCTACAACGTGTTTTAGCTACTGTTGAGTCCACTTTAAATGTTTTAGCAGATTCAGTGTTGCAAGAACAACCGCCATTGCGTAGAAAAAAATTGGAACATCTGGTAAATTTTAATGAATTTAAAAAATTTTCTGAAATTTTGACTACAACTTTTAATTACAGATTAACGAATTCGTGCATAAACGTACTGTCACTAGGCGCTTGATATCGAACGGCGTTACGCATCCCAAATCTTTTCAATGGCTTTGCGAAATGCGATTTTACTTTGATCCACGTCAAACCGAGGTGTTACAACAATTGACCATACATATGGCTAATGCCCGTTTCTTTTACGGTTTCGAATATCTAGGTGTACAAGATCGCCTTGTGCAAACTCCTCTGACTGATCGTTGTTATTTAACCATGACCCAGGCCCTGGAATCACGTTTAGGTGGTTCACCATTTGGTCCTGCTGGTACCGGTAAAACTGAATCAGTTAAAGCTCTTGGCAATCAATTGGGTCGTTTCGTATTGGTCTTCAATTGTGATGAGACCTTCGATTTTCAAGCGATGGGTCGTATATTTGTAGGTCTCTGTCAAGTTGGAGCTTGGGGTTGTTTTGATGAATTCAATCGGCTTGAGGAACGCATGCTTTCCGCTTGTTCGCAGCAAATACAGACCATCCAAGAAGCTTTGAAGTATGAAATGGACAGCAATAAAGAGAGCATCACGGTGGAATTAGTGGGCAAGCAGGTGCGAGTCTCGCCGGATATGGCGATATTCATAACCATGAATCCCGGTTATGCCGGCCGTTCAAATCTGCCCGATAACTTAAAAAAACTTTTCCGTTCTCTTGCTATGACAAAACCAGACCGTCAGTTGATCGCGGAAGTTATGCTTTTCTCGCAAGGCTTCCGTTCTGCTGAAAAGTTGGCCTGCAAAATTGTACCATTCTTCAAATTGTGCGATGAACAATTGTCTAATCAAAGTCATTACGATTTTGGCTTACGTGCCCTTAAGTCTGTTTTAATTTCCGCAGGCAACGTTAAACGCGATCGCATACAAAAAATCAAAGAAACACTACGTCAACGTGGTGAAGAAAACATTGACGAGGCTTCGGTGGCTGAAAATCTACCTGAGCAAGAAATACTTATACAATCAGTTTGCGAGACCATGGTACCGAAACTGGTGGCCGAAGATATCCCCTTGTTATTCTCTTTGCTAAGCGATGTCTTCCCCAACGTGGGTTACACACGGGCTGAAATGAAAGGTTTGAAGGAAGAAATACGCAAAGTATGTGAAGAAGATTATTTAGTGTGCGGCGAGGGTGATGAGCAGGGTGCTGCCTGGATGGAAAAGGTAATAATCTTAAATCCGTAGGATGTTGTAGCCATTAATATTCCCCGTTTCTTAACATTTGATTTAAATTTACTCCCACAAACACATATATGCTTAAACCATAAAATCTCGCATTCCGTAAACAAATATATATTTAATAACAGGGATTCGGTGAAACATGGGTCGAAAAAGTAAGAAATTATTTAGAAAGTATTACAGTCAATATTTTAAAAATAACAAGTTCGAATGTTCAATAAGGCAAAATGAAGTGAAGCAATTTGTATCTACGAAATATCATATCTCAGTTTTTATAATTTTTTTCATTAGTCCAGAATTACGTTCATCTTTTTTCTTTTCTTTGCGCAGTTTCGTGTCATTCGATTTTCCCGAAATTGTAATTGTGTAGTTTGATTGAATCGTGCATTCGCAGCATTTTTTCTTTGCTCCTCCCAAAGCAGTTCGAACTTGTTCTCCTTCCATTTTCAATTGGAGGATTTTTTCAATAATTGTGTTTGCTTATGTTCAATTTGTTTTTCGGAAAGGTCTTGCAACTGTATCAAATCTCTAAACTTAATCACGGCTTAATGATGGTGGGACCTTCGGGATCTGGTAAATCGACTGCATGGCGTACCCTCTTGAAAGCTTTAGAGCGTTTTGAGGGCATTGAAGGTGTAGCTCATGTTATCGATCCGAAAGCCATTTCCAAAGAAGCTTTGTATGGTGTTTTGGATCCGAATACACGTGAATGGACTGACGGCTTATTTACACACGTCTTGCGTAAAATCATTGATAACGTACGCGGGGAAATTAATAAGCGGCAGTGGATTATATTCGACGGTGATGTTGATCCTGAATGGGTCGAGAATTTGAATTCTGTTTTGGATGATAATAAACTGCTAACTTTACCGAATGGTGAACGTTTATCGTTGCCGCCCAATGTGCGTATCATGTTTGAAGTGCAGGATTTGAAGTTCGCGACTTTGGCTACTGTGTCTCGCTGCGGCATGGTTTGGTTCTCTGAGGATGTTCTCTCTACCGAGATGATATTTGAGAATTATTTATCACGTTTGCGTTCAATACCCTTGGAAGATGGAGATGACGACTTCTCCACCATTGCAGTTAAGTCCGTTAAAGATAAAGAAGATGAGATATCGCCTTCACTACAAGTTCAAAGAGATATTGCTTTATATCTGCAACCATTCTTTTCGGCTGATGGTATAGTGGTACGCAGTTTGGAGTACGCCATGGAACAGGAACATATTATGGACTTTACCCGCTTAAGAGCTTTAAGCTCCTTATTCTCCATGATAAATCAGGCTGCCAGGTAAGTCAGTGAAAAGCGATTCATTCGATTTGTAGTAAAAACTTTCGGTTTATAGAAATATCTTAAATTATAATGCTCAACATCCCGATTTTCCTTGTTCGCCCGATCAATTGGAACAATATATACCTAAAGCTTTGATTTATTCCGTTTTATGGTCTTTTGCGGGTGATGCTAAGCTTAAAGTACGTATTGATTTGGGAGATTTTGTTCGCAGTGTCACCACCATTCCTCTACCTGGATCTGTGGGTGTCGCTATCATTGATTATGAGGTTAGCATGAATGGTGAATGGGTACCATGGTCAAATAAAGTACCAGTTATTGAGGTAGAAACCCATAAAGTAGCTTCCCCCGATATAGTGGTACCCACTTTGGACACAGTGCGTCATGAATCTCTGCTTTACACTTGGTTGGCTGAACACAAACCTTTAGGTAAAATTAGGAGTTCAACCGAATTTCGTTCACTTTGATAATTTTTCCTTTTCAGTACTTTGCGGCCCTCCTGGGTCTGGCAAAACTATGACATTGTTTTCGGCTTTACGCGCGTTGCCCGATATGGAAGTGGTCGGCTTAAATTTCTCATCCGCCACTACTCCGGAGCTCTTGTTGAAAACATTCGATCATTATTGCGAATATCGCAAGACACCTAATGGTGTCGTCCTATCGCCCGTGCAGATTGGTAAATGGTTAGTTTTATTCTGTGATGAAATCAACTTGCCTGACATGGATTCCTACGGTACGCAACGTGTCATTTCTTTCTTACGACAACTTGTCGAGCACAAGGGCTTCTATCGGGCCAGTGATCAGGCGTGGGTTTCTTTAGAACGCATACAATTTGTGGGCGCTTGCAATCCGCCTACCGATCCTGGTCGTAAGCCATTGTCGCATCGTTTCTTACGACACGTTCCTATTATCTATGTTGACTACCCCGGCGAGACTTCACTCAAACAGATTTACGGCACTTTCTCCCGTGCTATGTTGCGTTTAATGCCTTCATTGCGCGGCTATGCTGAACCTTTGACTAATGCTATGGTAGAATTTTATCTAGCCTCGCAAGATCGTTTCACGCAAGATATGCAACCTCATTACGTCTACTCGCCTCGCGAGATGACCCGTTGGGTGCGTGGTATTTGCGAAGCTATACGTCCTTTAGATTCCTTGCTCGTTGAAGGATTAGTGCGCATTTGGGCCCATGAGGCGTTACGTTTATTTCAAGACCGTTTGGTTGACGAAACTGAACGTCGCTGGACCAACGAAAATATCAATACAGTGGCGTTAAAACATTTCCCAGGTGTTAATCCAGACGAGGCTCTTGCACGTCCAATACTTTATAGCAATTGGTTATCCAAAGATTATATGCCGGTAAATCGTGAAGAATTACGAGACTATGTCCGGGCACGCCTAAAGGTCTTTTACGAAGAAGAGCTGGACGTTCCTTTAGTGTTATTCGATGAAGTGTTAGAACACGTTTTGCGTATTGATCGTATATTCCGCCAACCCCAGGGACATCTATTACTTATCGGAGTATCGGGTGCAGGGAAAACCACCTTGTCGCGCTTTGTCGCTTGGATGAATGGTTTATCGATATTTCAAATTAAAGTACACAATAAATACACAAGTGAAGATTTCGATGAGGATTTACGTTGCGTTCTGCGACGGTCGGGTTGTAAAGATGAAAAGATTGCTTTTATTCTGGATGAATCAAATGTTTTGGACTCTGGATTTTTAGAACGCATGAATACACTTTTGGCTAATGGTGAGGTGCCCGGGCTCTTTGAAGGTGATGAATACACGACGCTAATGACTCAATGCAAAGAAGGTGCTCAACGTGAAGGCCTAATGTTAGATTCAAGCGATGAGTTATATAAATGGTAAATAATTACGAATTAACGAAAAATATTAGTAAACTTGTTCATGTTATTCATGATTTCTTCAAGGTTTACACAACAAGTTATGCGTAATTTGCATGTAGTCTTTACAATGAATCCTTCAACTGACGGCTTGAAAGATCGGGCTGCCACTTCGCCAGCCCTTTTCAACCGTTGTGTGCTGAATTGGTTCGGTGATTGGTCCGACTCGGCGCTCTTCCAAGTAGGCAAAGAATTTACAGCACGCGTTGACTTGGAGAAACCGTCTTGGTCGTCGCCAGATTTCTTCCCTTCGGTTTGCCCGCTAGTACCATCGCAGCCTAATCATCGAGATGCAGTAATCAATAGCTGTGTGTACGTCCATCAAACCTTGCATCAAGCCAATGCCCGCTTAGCTAAACGCGGTAGTCGCACAATGGCTGTAACACCGCGCCACTATCTCGATTTTATTCATCATTTTGTGAAATTATTCAATGAGAAGCGTAGCGACTTGGAAGAACAACAATTACACTTAAATGTGGGTCTAAACAAAATAGCTGAAACCGTTGAACAAGTGGAGGAAATGCAGAAATCGCTCGCTGTTAAAAAGCAAGAGCTGCAGGCTAAAAATGAGGCAGCCAATGCCAAGCTGAAACAAATGTTCAAAGATCAACAAGAGGCAGAGATCAAGAAAATTCAATCACAAGAAATACAAATTAAATTAGCCGATCAAACGGTAAAGATTGAGGAGAAACGTAAATATGTTATGGCCGATTTAGCGCAGGTTGAACCGGCAGTCATTGAAGCACAACTGGGTAAGTTTTATCCGTCTTATCCTATTATTTGTCTTATATTTATTAGAGTTGTTTTGAAATCGAAAATAGCTGTAGAATTAAAATAAAATGAAAGATAATATTTAAGTTAAACTTTTAAGTTTTTTCCATTTTCCTTAATAAAAATCTTGTCTAGCTGTTAGCTCGATTAAAAAGAAACAATTGGCTGAAATACGTACTATGACAAATCCACCACCAGCCGTTAAATTAGCTTTGGAATCGGTATGTGAGTTGTTAAATGAAAGCGCACCCGACTGGAAGACCATGCGTGGCATCATCGTTAGGGATACTTTTATATCATCTATAGTTAATTTTCAAACTGAAAATATCACGTATGGCCCGTTCAACCTTATATACATATAGTATAAAAACTATATTGTGACTTTTTCTTTTAACTACTTTTTATTTAACTTTTGTCCTCTAATCACTAAATTAAATTAAATTAAATTAAATTAAACATGCAACCATACTCACTTATAAAAGAAAAAGAAAAACGTTTAATCACAGATTTTAATTCTGTTTTTCTAACTTCATTTTGAAATTCATTTGCGCAATAATTGCCTAAGAAAGCCAAAAAAAAAATAAAAAAAATAAAATAAAAATAATATAATAATAATATATATATTTAAAAAAAAGAAAAAAAATTAATATATTATGTTTATGCAGAAGTTCGTAGCGAAAATCGAATATTCTTCAGACACGTAGACAATTGTTAAAGCTGCGTCCGCTCTCTTTAGTCTTTAGTAGATTTGCTCGACATCAATGTTGAGTGACTAAGTAGAGCGGGAAGCAGCGTCATGAAAATGAATAGTTGTGCAATGAGCTTTCTTCAATCGGGCATGATCCCCACGGGCATGATCACATACAGCATAATTTTCATGCTTTTTTCACTTATGTTCTCGCTAACTTTGCACAAAACAGTGAAACGGTTCGAAAATATTAATTTGCATTTCATTCTAACGATGCAATGAATGCGTCAGGGATCTTAAAAAGTTGGCTAAAATGTCGTCCTACAATCTTGTATCCGTGATTCGTGAGTTTGATACTTTATCAAGCGAATAGTCAATTCCAATCTACATATCTCTTAGCTTCTTTGAGGAATCATGTATAGACGTAATATATAAATTTTTTTTTTTGGTTTTTTTTTGGGTTTTTCAAATTTTTTTTTGTTTTTTTTATTTTGTTTTAAAAATTTTTTGTTTTTCTAATTCGTCTGACCACTAAACGATTAATCAATTAATTGACCATGTGATTATTAATGAGAGGAGACTTGTACATATATATATATATATCTTAAATACATATAAATATAAAATATATGCAAATAATTATAGCCTGATAGTTATCATATATCTTTAATAAGCTACCACATTTATGCAAATGCCGCGCACACAACTTTTAATATTTTCCAAATTATTTTACTCTGTTCAATTTTTAAGTAATTTATCTTTTATACTTATTATATACTTACACGCTATATGCAGATCAATTAGGCAGGATATTTGTTCGATTGGCTAACTGATTGATTGCAAACGTATAACGTTAACATTTCGTTAAAAACCGCTCAATAGCTGATAAAAGATATCCTTTCGAATACTCGAATTATTATTCAGATTCACTACAAAAGCAAAATTCGATAATAATCAACTGTTGAAACTCTAATTCTGGGCGAATGGAAAGAGATCGATAATACTAATAGTTAATAGCGGTCGATAAAAAGTGAAAGGACGTGAAAATCGTAAGATGGCTATAGACCAATTTCTAATAGTTACGAGTTCATTTTAAGCGCATTCCTAATTGCATTACATCATCTTCATAATGTCAAACCTGATCTATCTATCTACCTTGCGCTATATAGTATGAAGTAGAGTATACAAACTTAGCTTTATCTATCTTTCTATATAACTGATATGAAAAATCCATATGATTGGAGATCAAATTATACCTTGCTGCTAGAACTAGTTCAATATATTTCGAATCATAGAGCGAGAAATATCATTTTCTTTTGCTAAGTAACATGCAGTAGCATGAAGCAAATTGGAATGTGAAAGAACAATACAAAGTGGGGTAATTCGAATTCAAAAAAACTTTTAAGTAAAGTATATAACGATATAGATAAATCTTTCCTTCACTCAGTTTAATTATTCAAATTTCAATTACCGATAGTAATTAGTATTCGTCATATCTGTCTCTGTATGTCTACTGTTTAGTTTGCCAAAGCAAAGATTTTCTAAGATCCTCTCTAGCCGATCGATACTGAGATCTCCTCTTACCCTAATATGTAAAAACAAAAACACTAAGTACAGTAACTGACATTGGGGAGAAATGTTAATCAGGATCATGTAAAAATGATTTCAATTAAGTTAACCATTCAGAAAAGATCGCCGTTCTAGTTTTTATTGGACACAAATTTTTTTTCAAACATTTTGCAAAAAAAAAAAAATAATAATTCAAGGGAAAATTCACAATTTTCTGAAAAATTAGACTTTTTTCCTTATAGTGAATGTCTGTTTAATAAGCCATATCTCTCTCCTGAATTCGTTTAAAGATCCGCTAATATGGACTACGATTAGGAAAGGTTATAAGTAAGGTATTTATTTTGTTTAGTTCAGTTTAAGGTTGGTTTGTCTTGTTTTATAAACATTTTCATTTGCTGGTGTGTGTTCCTGTGATGATTGATTCTTCGATTCGGCGATGAGATAAAAAGGAAAAAGAAAGAAAAGATTTCTGTAAGACCTCAACAGGGCAATTTAGAGGCAAAGAATACGTTCAAAATTTTCGTTTGTATATTATAAATTTATAAATCGGTATATTCACTTAATTATTTGATATTAGTTAAATAACCCTACTTACTTAAATAATTAGTAAATAACTGTTAAAAAATCTAAAAAAATTAAAAAAAAAAAAATAAATTAATATTGTATAAAGAAAAACAAAGAAATCAAAGAAAAATAACAATTCTTAAAAATTTACTACTCTTTTACTTACTCTTTTTCACATACTCTCCTCACTCTCTATACCGTGAACCACTATACACCAAATACAATTATCACTACCATCACCACCAACTACCCATATCATACCAAAAACTATGATATAAAATCCAAACAAACAAATATAGCTGTAAAGTCAATACGCAAACAACAACTAGTTGAGGTGAGAACAATGGCTAACCCACCATCGGTAGTGAAATTGGCACTTGAATCGATCTGTTTACTGCTGGGTGAGAATGCGACCGATTGGAAATCGATTCGTGCCGTTATAATGCGTGAAAACTTTATTAATTCAATTGTATCTAACTTCAGTACCGAAATGATAACGTAAGCATGTGTTTTACAAACAAAAACAAACTTAAAAAAAAAAAAAAAAGAAAAAAATTCCTCTGAAAACAATTTTCTTTCCTTTAAATTTTGTGTTCTTTTTGAGTTTTACTGTTATTGTTGTAGCCTTGCTTGAGAGCACCTATTTTTGGGGCTCGCCCTTAAATTTTATTCAGTTTGTTATTTGTTTCGTTTGTAGTTTTTTTTTTTTTTTTTTTTTTTTCTTTTCTTTTCTTTTAACTTAACATTTGGGTGCCTGTTTGTAATTATTCGATTATTAATTAACCCTAAGTTATATGAATTATTATTAATAAAATCAAAATTTTGTATAGTATTTGTTTTTCGGTTTGAATTTCTCATAATTGGTTTTCTGTGGCTTTGGTTATGATACGCTTATGCTTTGATAACAATTCTCATTCTAATAGAAATTTGTTGCTTATCATCTACTAATAATTATTATTATTTGTCCAAATTAAAGATTTTAATATACATACATAATATATATATATTTTTTTATACGTTACACAAAAAATACTGCAGCGATGATGTTCGTGAAAAGATGAAAAACAAATACATAAGTAATCCGGATTATAATTTTGAAAAAGTCAATCGAGCTTCATTGGCTTGCGGTCCTATGGTTAAATGGGCCATTGCTCAGGCAAGAATGAAAAGGAAAAAGTTGAAAAGTTCTTAAGTTCTCAAATTTATTATTTTATTTCTACGCATAGATTGAATATGCGGACATGTTGAAACGTGTGGAACCGTTACGAGAGGAGTTACGATCTCTTGAGGAACAGGCCGAAGTAAATAAGAAAAATGCCCAGGAAACGAAAGCTTTAGTGGAGCAATTAGAACAAAGTATTGCCGCTTATAAGGAGGAATATGCTCAGTTGATTTCTCAAGCTCAAGCAATTAAAACTGACCTTGAGAATGTTCAAGCTAAAGTTGATCGATCAATTGCTTTACTCAAGAGCTTGAATATTGAACGCGAACGTTGGGAATGCACTAGTGAAACTTTCAAATCGCAAATGTCAACAATTATTGGTGATGTTTTGTTGTCGGCCGCTTTCATCGCTTATGGCGGCTACTTTGATCAACATTATCGCACTAACTTATTTACGACTTGGTGTCAACATTTACAAGCGGCCAATATACAGTATCGCCCTGATATCGCTCGGACGGAATACCTTTCTAATCCAGACGAACGTTTACGTTGGCAGGCGAATGCTTTACCAACTGATGATTTATGTACCGAGAATGCCATAATGTTGAAACGTTTTAACCGATATCCATTGATTATAGACCCATCTGGCCAAGCGACCACATTTTTATTGAACGAGTATGCTGGTAAAAAGATTACTAAAACCAGTTTCTTGGATGATTCATTCCGTAAAAACCTGGAATCTGCTTTACGTTTCGGTAATCCGCTTCTAGTACAGGATGTTGAAAATTATGATCCAATTTTGAATCCAGTTCTGAATCGAGAACTTCGACGGTTGGATCACGTGTAGACAAAAATATGACAAAAGATGGTGACAAGTCAATATCCTGGTCACCTAAGGTGATTAAAACACGTCCTCCTGTACGTCGAATTTCCTCCAGATATATGTTCCAGAGTAACATTTGTAAACTTTACAGTAACGCGTAGTTCATTACAGTCGCAGTGCTTGAACCAAGTCCTGAAAGCTGAACGGCCTGATATTGATGAGAAACGTTCCGATTTGTTAAAATTACAGGGCGAGTTTCGTTTACGGTTGCGGCAATTGGAGAAAAGTCTATTGCAGGCACTCAACGATGCTAAGGGTAAAATTTTGGACGATGATTCGGTTATAGCGACTCTGGAAACGCTTAAAAAGGAAGCTTTCGACATTAATCAAAAAGTGGATGAGACCGATAAAGTTATAGCTGAAATAGAAACTGTCTCTCAACAATATTTACCCCTCTCTGTGGCTTGTAGTAATATCTACTTTACTATGGATAGCCTAAATCAGGTGCACTTCTTGTATCAATATTCACTTAAGATGTTTTTGGATATATTTTCTACCGTCTTGTATAATAATCCAAAATTAGTGGGTCGTAGCGGCTATGCCGAAAGATTGGTTCTTATAACACGTGATCTGTTCCGTGTATGTTATGAGCGTGTGGCACGAGGCATGTTGCATGCCGATCGTTTAACATTTGCTTTACTTATGTGCAAAATCCACTTAAAGGGCACGTCAGAGCCTAATCTTGATGCAGAATTTCATTTCTTCTTGCGTAGTCGTGAAGGTTTATTGGCTAATCTTGAACCCGTGGAAGGTTTGAGTCCTGAACAAATTGAAGGCGTTAATCGTTTAGCATCGCGCTTGCCCATATTCCGTAAATTAATAGATAAGTTGCGTTCGATGCCTGAGTTAGTGCCATGGTTGCAGCAAAGCTCTCCTGAGCAATGCGTTCCCCAATTATGGGATGAAAACAGAGCTCTATCGCCCGTAGCTAGTTCGGTTCATCAGCTACTATTGATTCAAGCGTTTCGTCCGGATCGAGCTATAGCTGCGGCTCACAACGTGGTTAATGCCGTTTTAGGTGAGGATTACATGCAAACTGCAGAGGATGAATTGGACTTTACGGCTGTAGTGGAGAAGCAATTGAACTGCAACACACCTGCTTTGCTTTGTTCGGTCCCAGGATTTGATGCTTCTGGACGAGTTGATGACTTAGCTGCAGAGCTTAACAAGCAAATCTCTAGCATTGCTATTGGATCTGCGGAAGGTTTCAATCAAGCTGAGAGTGCTATAAATCTGGCTTGCAAGAGTGGTCGTTGGGTGCTGCTCAAGAATGTGCATTTGGCCCCACAGTGGCTAGTGCAGTTAGAAAAGAAACTTCATTCATTGCAGCCGCATTCTGGTTTCCGTCTCTTCCTAACAATGGAAATTAATCCTAAAGTTCCTGTGAATTTATTGAGAGCCGGTCGTATATTCGTTTTTGAGCCACCGCCAGGCATTCGTGCGAATTTATTGCGCACGTTCTCGACAGTTCCGGCTGCTCGTATGATGAAAACTCCTAGCGAACGTGCACGATTATATTTCTTGTTGGCGTGGTTCCATGCTATTGTTCAAGAACGCTTGCGATATGTACCGCTAGGATGGGCTAAGAAATATGAATTTAACGAAAGTGATTTGCGTGTAGCTTGCGATACACTGGACACTTGGATTGATACCACTGCTATGGGACGCACTAATCTACCACCAGAGAAAGTTCCGTGGGATGCTTTGGTCACTTTACTCTCCCAATCAATTTACGGGGGCAAGATTGATAACGATTTCGATCAACGTCTTCTTACTTCCTTCCTAAAGAAACTCTTCACTCCACGTAGTTTTGAAGGTGATTTTGCTTTAGTAGCTAATGTTGACGGAGTCTCAGGAGGTCAGCGGCACATTACCATGCCTGATGGCACCAGACGCGATCATTTCCTGAAATGGATAGAAAACCTGACAGACCGTCAGACACCCTCGTGGCTCGGTTTGCCCAATAACGCTGAAAAGGTTTTACTTACCACTAGGGGTACCGACCTTGTAAGCAAATTGCTTAAAATGCAACAATTAGAAGATGATGATGAATTGGCCTACAGTGTAGAAGAATGTAATGAGCAGGCTGCCTCTCAACGTCAAGAAGATGGCCGTCCTTCTTGGATGAAAACTCTCCACAATTCGGCTACTGCTTGGCTGGAATTGTTGCCTAAAAATCTGGCAATTTTGAAACGTACTGTCGAAAATATTAAAGATCCATTGTATCGCTACTTTGAACGCGAGGTTACCTCTGGTGCTAAACTCTTGCAGACGGTTATATCCGATTTGCAAGATGTTGTACTCATTTGTCAAGGTGAGAAGAAACAAACTAATCATCATCGTTCTATGCTTTCGGAATTAGTACGCGGTATCATACCAAAAGGATGGAAACGTTACACTGTGCCAGCTGGCTGTACTGTCATCCAGTGGATAACTGATTTCAGTAATCGCGTGCAACAATTACAAAAAGTTTCTCAATTGGTTTCACAGGCAGGAGCTAAAGAATTGCAAGGTTTCCCCGTATGGTTAGGTGGTCTTTTGAATCCCGAAGCCTACATAACTGCCACCCGTCAGTGTGTAGCTCAAGCCAATAGCTGGTCTTTGGAAGAGCTGGCGCTAGAAGTCATTATAACCGAATCGAGTATTAACAATGAGACTAAGGATAGCAGTTTCGGTGTCACAGGCCTCAAATTGCAAGGCGCGCAATGCAAAAATAATGAACTGCTGTTGGCATCGACTATCATGATGGATTTGCCATTAACTGTATTGAAATGGATTAAGTAAGTCTCTTGAAAACTTTTTAAACGTTATATATGTAATGGTATATATGTATATATGTGAACTGATTCAAATCTTTTCAGACTCTCTTCTGAGCCACGCGTTAGCAAACTAACTTTGCCGGTTTATTTGAATTCCACGCGCACTGAATTGTTGTTCACCGTGGATTTAGCTGTCGCGGTCGGTCAAGATCCTTACAGTTTCTATGAACGCGGTGTGGCCGTTCTAACGTCAACCGCTTTAAATTAAGAAAAAATATGATAAATCAATAACTAAAAAATTGAAAAATATGTAACCAATAAAATTCAATTGTTCTATTACTAGTCCAGGGCTTAAATTATCTAAAAATATATATACTTTGCTTCGTCTTTACTTAAAATACAATGTTCAATAAAAAAAAAAAGCTCGGGTGAATTAATGTTGAAAGAAACAGGGAACACTTTAGCTTTAAAATTCTTTGGAAGACCTTTATGAAATACATCGAGACTGGGAGGGTCGGTTTTCAGTTCGCGGTTTATCGAGCAAACTCGATATCGTACTTGCATTTCGGGTTGGCTGTACTTCATAGCGTATGAGTGTTTACTCAATATCGAGTGCAAATTGCCATATTTTAGCGCGAAGACGAAGATGCAGTGCACTTCAGCAACCATTCCCACGAATAGCAATATCGCTAATAACATTATAGGCATTATCTTTCATAATGCCTATACGCTACAAAACAAAGTCCGTGCTCACATCAATAATATTCACACACACACACACAATAAAAATCTTTCAAGCAATAGGGAAATTCTAGACCTGGTTCATCCAAGTTGAAGCGCAATTTACGACACGACAAAGTACGAATGCATCCTAATTGCTTTTCCTTAAGAAATCATTGCGTATGTTATCGATTTTAATCGAGATCCTTCGGCCATAAACGAATATCAGGAGTTCAAAAGAATTATAATTGAATGGAGTTCGTTGGGCGAGTGTTCAACCCTAGACCTGATTTTGTCATAGGTGATCGCAAATTAATGGTGTTCTATCGGAGTCTGGTTGTTCTTGGTGGAACTAATTTCACCATTGGCTTTGGTTAAAGGAGTTGCCTAAAAGTTTAAGCGTGGCGCTTGCAAGTTCGAATGTCAAAGACGTTGAAGATCAGATTAAGCAGATTAAGCGAAATTTAGGAAGTGTATAATTTTCGCGAAATTAATGCTGTTGCGTCAACCTCGCGAAACACCAGGGACATAACAACTCAAAATTTACTAAAATCTCAAGCGTTGTTGTGTGATAGCTTAAACATATTAACGCTTTGAGATGGTGGCTTGAAAGCTCAATTGAATCAACGTGATTCTACACCAGCTCGGTTTTCAGCTCGAAGCTTATAGGAAGACTGATTACAAAAATGCGTTTCATCAAGAAGAAGATTTAACAAAAAAAATATAAATAAACAAGAGAAAAACTTACCCTATTTAAAAAAAATATTTTTAACAAAGTATAAAATTTAATAAATTTAACATCCTACACTCATTTTCGAGGCTTTTACTTACTGGTACCATGAAATATGGAAAGGGGTAGACGAATATGAAACTAAGAAAGAATTTTGGAGAATGACCAAAAGTGGAAATGTGGGATTACTAGAAGAAAAAGTATTGTGGAAACGTGATATTTAAGGGACCTAAATCTCTCACAAATATAATAGAAGGAAGTATCGTAGATCCCATTGTGTGTATATATATATATATATATTTGATTATTATCAAATTCTAGACCAATTTGGGCATTTTCGTTTGCTTGTCTGTGTAATGTTTGTGGTAGACCTTCTCCTGGTCGCAAAAAAGAAGCTGTGGGCTTCAAATTTGGCAGAAATATTGAAAGTTTTTGTACGTAGGGTGATACTCAAATTGGGCCATACACTGCCGCAGCTCAACATAACGTGACAAATCTGTTTGCTAACAAAAACAAAAAGGTTTATTGTTCCTGGCTTAAACGATAAAAATTCATACGCATATTTTATTGGTGACCAAAAAAAGGGAAACCCTGGCGACGTCTTAGCAATATTATAATATATCAAAGTTTTTCTTCTTTTGCTAAAATGTTTGCAACATCCTGAAAGGACTTTCGGAGTCCTTCCATTTACATATTATTGAACAATATCAAATTCTGAATCGTTTTAGGCGTGTTTGTCAGTCTGCCTGTCCGTCTGCCTCTTAACTACTGTCATAAACGTACTTCTGACCGGAAAAATGGAAGAAAAAGTGAGAAATTTTGCAAACACGTTGAAAGTCGTTACATGTAGGTTGATATTGAAAATATATCAAATCGGTAAAATGACACGCCCACGAAACGATATGGATTGAGAATACCCTGGCTTTCTGGGTTTGTTGCCCATTATGCGTAAAATACAAAAGACACTCGATAACCATTTGCAAACATGGCAACACTCAGTCACGCGCACTTAATATTACTGAGTATGGAACTTTGGCTTTTTCGATCTTTTCTCTAGTCTTTTTAAAGCCGGTGGTAGTAGACATAAAAGAATTGTTCTCCTAAAATTCGCAGAAAGGCTTCTAAATAAACAAAACCTGTGGAAATCCGACGGGGTCTGAGGATATATTGTGAATATTAAAAAAAAAAAAAACAATAATTAAGTTATAGAAATAGTATTGCGAAGTCTACTGAAGAGAAATTCTCTATATATGTATATATATGTAGTTATCCATTTCGGGGCAATCCTGTTTTAGTAATACATGTAAAACCAAGGAGTAATCACGTATGAGAAATTATTCTTCCTCTTTTGTTGGCTGAATACCGAAGCGAAAGTAAAATTTCATGTACGTGATTACTCGCCAGAATTGTAATTCAAACCAAGATATGTCTTGTGCAACGTTTGCCATTTTACACTATGGATCGTTTAACAATCGCTTAACGTGTTAGCAAAATTCCCACAAAATGCTAGGGGCACTCACACTTCGTCTAGTTGATAAAAACTTGATAAACGCTTTAGTTGCCCATGATTCATGTTAAATGAAGAAGTGGAGGAAAGTAGCAAGTTTTTCTTTACATATACTTGTGCCTGTTAAAGCCCAAAAAGTAACGCCTGATTTACTCTTTTGGGTGAAGTAAACAAACCACAAAAAAAGAAAGGTAGAATAATACGCAATAGACAATTGCGTAAACGCTTCACATTTGTGATGTAACGATCGTTGATTTATAAGTTTAGTAGAGATCTAAACAAAATTAAAATTGCAATTTATCAAAAATGTGCCAAAGTAGTAACCAAGGCAACTATGAAAGCTGCATTCAAATTGGCACTAAGCACCATTATATTAAAAATTCGAAAACATTAGGCAAAATATGTTATGTACGAAGGTATTACAAAAAAAAAAAAAAAAACAAGTGCTCGAAGTCGAAAGAGTTTATTCACTGTCATCAAAGTGAAGAGTCTTTCTTGCGTCTATCATAAGCCAGCTAGGTAGGCGAACAACTATGTAAGTACTTTTTAATTTATTTTTGTATATTCTTGTTAATATTCAATGGTTGCGGTTGCAGGTTAGCTTCTAAGGAAAAAGTACGTGAGCTGTCCATTTGTTGACCATCTGGAAATGGCGCATTTCTATAAGACGGAACACTCAGGGGGTGGCCGCTATTCATCTTATACAGTGACTGTTGGAATGAAGGGAGGAAAGGACTATAACTTTACCGGCTGAGCACGGACAATAACTGCGAAAAGCAAACTCTACCGCATTTGAGATTTGAATCAGCGGCTACTCACGTGGATAGTAAATAACTTGTGGAATGAGCTGAGTTACCTGAAGCATCCCAGCATGACAGCATCCCAGGCGCACCTGGCAAAATCAAGACCAAAAAAATCAAGGCGCTGTTTGGCATACGCGTTTAAAGATATCTTCAGCAGGATCTCCTACAATTAATAACGGTACACACCTAATTGCTGTGTTGTGTAAGGCAAAAAGTCGAGGAAGACAAGTCGTTTAACTCTGTAGTACTAGGACACAAGAGGGAAAATAGGTTTCCTTTTTGGCCAGAATCCACGTGATTTCGAAGATAATGACAAAGGATTGAGTTAAAACCTTTATGCTTCTACTCTAATTTAGTTTAGAAGGAGATTAAATTGATTTCAAACTAATTTTTTCATTTCCTTACGTTGACAAATTTTCAACTTTGAATCTCATATATTTATTTCTATTATGAAATGCATTAATAAAATGATCTGAGAAATAAAAATGTAAATTGAAGACTTTGAAGCTGTTTCCAGCTGACGTAGATAGATTGGAAGCATGCAGACCTTCTCCGTCTTACAACGATTCTCTTTCGCGTTTTTCTTTTTATTTTTCCACCAAAGCTTTTCCTTACTACAAATACAACTCTGAATTATCAAACTAACACAAAACGTAAGTTATTTAGTTTTCATTTAATTTGATAGATAGAAGAGAGTGTATTTAACATTTCACAGCTGATGTGCGCATGTGAAGCAAAAAAAAGATAAAAGTCGTAAAGCCATGCTGAATGTTGTCCCATACTTTATCCATTAGATGGCACGCATAGGACTTGGGTCGATCTTACGACACATTATGACGCCTTTGGATTTGCATCTCAGCATTTACAAAATTTAACTAGCACAAGAACTGAAACCGATTGACCATGCAATGCGTAGAAGATACGTTGATTGGGTGGGAAGATTTTTCGCATCGAATTTACTTCAGCTGTGGAATTAATTTTTCGCTTGATGGATATGTCAGCAAAAAACTCAAAAAAAATCGTTGCCTTCTCAAAAAGTCACTGCTCAGGGAGGCATTTGGTCTTTAGGAATAATAGCTCAGTACATTTTTGAAAATGACGAGGCTGTGACACAAACCGTCAATTCTCATAGCTACTTTAATATTATTATACACTTCTTTTTTAAATTGAACATACATGGTTTCAACAGGACTGTGCCACAAGCCACACAACATGCTCCGTTTGGCACAGAAATTCTCCAGACGTGTAGTTTCATGTTTTTGTGATGTGATTTAACCATCAAGACTGTGCGATTTCTTACGGCTTCATTATTTTTTGGGGTTACGCGAACGACTTAATTTATGCGAACAATACGTGGTGTTTTGACGCTTTGAAAACGAACATCTGTCCGGAATTTATGACAAAGCAATTGTGCGTTACGCGTAGACAAGTCATTTAACATTAGAGCAAAGGGATCCAGTCCAGTAAGATGTCCCGTGGGGGACATTTGAATGATGTGGCGCCCCAAA